TTGTTAGACTCTTCATCATGAAGGTACTCTCTAACTTTGACCACACACCCGCTGTCCCTCTCAAGGCATAGGATAACCGACGCTCGTGTTTTGAGATCTAACTCTTCCTAGTCCTCATCAGACATATCTTTGTGCTTCTTTTCTCTTCCTACCAAAGCCTTGAGCAATTTCTGTGAAATCAACAAATTTTTCATCTGCATCCTCTAATAAAAAAAATCATTCTTTCCATTAAACTTTTCAATCTTATACTTTCCAACTTTAACTGTTTTACTAGTAGACACCATTCTTCGCTTGTTTTAGTAAATTTGTTTCTCTTAGAAATTTCAACAAACACATTGTGTGCATCACACAATAACCAAACACTACATCAAATAAGAAGCTTTACCACCCCTAATCTGTACAAGGGCTCTGATACCTATTATTAGGGGCCGACACGCCCACTACCCGCAGAAACAAATCACCTCGAGAGAAAGCCCTAGTTTTTATTTTCACAAAACTCAAGACAAACTCGATATTCAAGTTTCGATATGAATAAGAACAGAAGTGAATATCTCAACAAGGTGAGATATACACTCTTCCTGATATCAAGTCAATGTCTGAATATCGAGGAAACCAACACAAGCAATAGCCAATACACAGAGAACAATAAAGAAGGCACGAGATTTATGTGGTTCATCAAACTTGCCTATGTTTACGGGAAAGGGGGGAGAAGGGAGATTCTACTATGATGGAGAACACCGACGACTTGCACAACTAACAAGCTCATCCCAAAGATGAGGCTTTGATTTTACCCAAGAGAAGATGACCTCTTTCTTGTACAATCTCTCCAAGCACTCTCTCTTTTCTCTCCTCAAGATCTCACCTTTTTAGATTTGAAAAAACTCTCTCTTTCTCGTTGATGACTGCCCCTCTACTCAACCAAAAAACCTTAGGAACGAAGTTCTTATTTATATCAAGCAAACATGGTCCAAAATGAAAACAAATCCGCCCGCTCCGGTTGCGCCCGAGACACCTCGGAGCCAAGATACTTCAGGGTGTCTCAGCGGGTGCCGAGACACCTCAAGGTGTCTCATGCGCCGAGACACCCTGAGGTGATCTTGCTATAGCGCTCTGACGTTCTTATTGTTGCTCTTTTTCTTCTACTATTCATTCAGATAATTCGGAGTACCGAAGAGTTATAGGATGACAGAGTTCTTGCATAATCGCCATCACATGAGATTTATTAGAGGCTCCATCATAGTTTTATATTTTCGTTTAGACCTTAGAATTTATTTTATAGCGTAAAGGCAATGTGCCTTAGTACGATTTTCAGTTGTTTCTTATCGAGACATATTTATTCATTTTGGATATCAGATGTACTCCAGGTTGTTCATTGAGACATGGTTTATTTATGAGATACTTCTTTCTATATCATGTCTATTGTAGTTATTCCAGGTTGTTCATTGAGACATGGTTTATTTATGAGATACTTCTTTCTATATCATGTCTATTGTAGTTATTTCCTTTCTTTTGCATGTTTTGTATATGAGATACTTCTTTCTATATCATGTCTATTGTAGTTATTTCCTTTCTTTTGCATGTTTTGTACCTGTGCTTTATTTTGATTCCACTAGAGGATATTGTTGTGATTGGTAAAACTTGTTATTACACAGTGTGGGTGCATGGCAGGTTTGACATCTCTGGATTCGTCTTAGACTGCACTCATGTATGAAAACAAGGGCGTCACAAAGGAAGTGGGTGGTCCAGCTGGTGGTGAAGAACGATCAGTAGTGTGGAGGAAATTAATGTTATCAGAACCAGAGTAATATGGAGAGTCCTCTTCGAACTGAACGTGTCTAGATATATAAACCCCCTAAGATGTAGGATCTTAACAATGATAACCTTGATGTTCTGGACGAATTCCTAAATAAACACAGGGAACATCTCTGGGAGACAATTTATTATGTTCATGAGATGGCAGAAAAACAAAACATCGAGAACTAATGACGCGAGCCAGCTCATAGCAAGGAGTATGAGCATATACGTGACTATGAGGAGTAGCACCGGAAAGAGAGCTAGATGAAATGTTATTAATGACGTGAACAGTGATGATAATAGCCTCCACCCAGAAACGATGAGGAACAGAGAGAAATGAGCATGGATCGAGCGGTATCGAGGATATGGTGATGTTTTCGTTCAGCAATACCATTCTACTCATGAGTATAGGGACATGACTGTTGAAAGATATTCCCATGAGAGGTCATGACGGAGCGCATGATAGAGGATAAATACTCTTTGACACGGTCAGATCGAAAAACTTTAATACGAGCTTTCCATTGAGTGAATATCATAGCAGTGAAGGCTTGATACACAGTAGGTACCTCAGAGCGATTTTTAAGTAAATAGACCCATGTATAATGAGAGAAATTATTGATAAAACTAACAAAATATAAATAGTCAGATGAAGAAGGTAGAGGAGCTAGCCCCCAAATATCGGAATGGTCTAAATCAAATAAGAAAGTGGATGCAGATGTACTGGTTAGAAACGATAAAATAGTAAATTTAGCTAATTTACAACCAGTACATGACTCAATACGAGTACTAGATGTCATAAGATCTAGTACTCCGGACTGGATAAGACTCTCTAGTCTTTTATTGGACACATGATCAAGTCGTCTATGCCACAAATTAGCAGGAAGCAAGTTAGAAGGTTTTGATGGACAAACAGAAGCAACAAGAGAATGTGGACGTATGGACTCTGAAATGTTAAGATATTCCAAAAATTACAGCTTGTGCCTCCTACGACTAGTCCCAACAATCTTGCCCGTCTGTGGATCCTGCACAAGATAAGTGTCAGAAGAAAATAAGATAAGTAAGCCAGCTATACATAAAGAACTAATAGAAATTAAATTCAAGCACAACTGATGAGCCACATAAATAGGCCAAGTGTTAGATGACCAGATGGGTCATTTTGTAGGATGATATAACCATACTAAGTGATAGGCAATGATTGTCCAGCAGTCGTGTAGATAGTGGGATGAGAAGATGAAGTGAAGATAGAGGATAAGAGTGAGCCATTATGAGTCATATGAAAGGAGCAATCAGAGTCAATAATCCAGAGGTTATTCATACCAGAGACTTGTGCAATTGATGAGTCAGCAAGGCCATACAGAATGTAGAAGTGGTATGCTGAAGAGCATCAAGTTGACGGTGAAGATTTTCACTAGCTTGAATAGTAGTGTTAGAAGTGGTAGATGGTATACCATTGGCCAGCAATCCTAGTGCACGAGAGGGTTGAGACAGAGGGGGTTGCCAACCTTGATCGGTACTTGAGGAACGTAACTCAGGATGAAGCCTGAAGCATTTCTCAATACGGTGTCCCTGCTTCTTACAATATGTACAAAAGAGCTTAGATCGAGCATGTTGATAAGTACGATTGATAATAAGAGTAGTGATTGATACAGAGAGAACAATCTCGAGTGAAGAAGCAAGAGCATCTATTGTCAAATTGAGTCGTGTGGTTTGCTGCTGTGTTTCATAAGCAGTGAGAACTCCCATAACCGAGGCTGAAGTCAGAAATTGAAGCTGATGAAGTAGTTGGTCAGACATAGTTGAATATTCAGGAAGGAACTAAAACAATTAATGCACCTCACACCGTTCATACCAGGCTAGTCAGCCTTCGTATGTGGAATCACGTCTATGAAGTATGGAGCGTAATTCTGTCCAATAGGCTTGCATTTGACCAAAATGAGATTGCGGAGAGGAACTATCATTGCGTTATATAGCAACGTGTTGCAGAAGATATGTCTCCTGTGCACCGGAGCACTCTGTGAAGCGCTCAATGAGACGACTCCTATGGCCTGAGTAGAGGGAAGCAAGTCAATCTCGACAGTGAGACCAGAGCCAACACAACGAGTGAGATAATCCATGACACAAAATTTTTGCAACTGCCAGTCCGAATTCTCCTTGACATAGAGAGAACGTGTGGTTTGAAGATCAGTATCACCACTGCCAGATGTAACGATACTGGAGGAAGTAGCAGTGCTGATGGATCGGTATCAAAAGCATATTGGCCTTATTGTATGTCTTGGCTTGTTTTCGCTCTCTTCTTTTGTTTGTGTACATAGATTGTTGTAATATTCCTCTAGGGCTGAGGCAGAACAGCAGCCATAATACCATTCCTCAAAATATATCAATGCGTTCCAGGTGAGAAGGTATCAGTTTAGATTCTTGTTTAGACTCTTCAACAGAATCATCTGGCGACTATAGAGAAATCTTATAGGCTTCCTGTTTTTACTTCAACAGGTGCAAGCTTGATGGTTTTGGTGTTAGTGAAAATTGATCCTGATAATGCATGGCTTGATCTCATACCGACGTGGGGAGATCGAGACCATTCAATAAATGAGTCAGCTGGAAAAGGACTAGATAAGCTGACTTCTTGCGGCTTGCTGATTTAATTTATGTGCACAGCTAGCATCCAGCTATAATGTCAGGTGGCTTGCTTCAATATTTAGGTCAACGGTCGCCGCGTATCAGATGAAACTGACTGGGGATGTTCAAGGGAGGAATTAAAGCTGATGGTGAGGATCCCGCTTTTGACACATGTCCAGTGTTTAACAAATGTTATTTGTATGTAGACCCTAGTAGTACAGTTTCTCTACAATCAAAAGATGTAGAGGAATTAAAGCTGATGGTGAGGATCCCGCTTTTAGATTGTAGTATTGTTTATGTATTGTTTATGTAGGGATAAGTACTTTTGTTTGTGATTGGGTTGTTTCATTCTTGGAAAGCAAAGCAACAGGGCATTACAATGTTACGCTCTTATTTGTCTTTTTTTTTTTTTGGTTGAGCACCTTTTTTACGTACTTAATATTGATGGGTATGACATCCATCCCTTCACAAAAGAGCAATAATAAATATTTTCATGGAAACGCATTCGTCCTCAGCACGATCATGAAATAGCTTTACATGAAACAACACAACTTGCTCTCACTTACAAATATCCATGTAGCGAGAAAAGAAGTGAAGTTACAAGAAAAACAGAGAATGGTAAATAATAGGCTTTGCAAAGCCTATTTCACTGTCTAGTTCTCATCCTTTGCCTTTATCATGAACTTGCACATCTTCTTCTTGATACAATCAATCATCATATTTGCAGAATCAATCCCTAAAAAAATCAAACAAAAACAATTTGAAAGTTTGACACATAACAAAAACATTTTTGCTCACTGTCAAACAACACAAACCTGCTAAGTATGCACCATGGACATAACCGTTATAATGCTCACTCGTATGTTCACCGGTAAAATACACTCTTCCGACAGGTGCCTGCAATATTAACAAATACAAACAATCATAAAAATATCTTGTTCGAGATGGATTATATAGAAATTACTTATGCATTACCCTTATCTGATCATATTCATATCTATTTACTCCGAGGGGCCAATTCGAGAATGTGCCCTTATAAAACCTGTCCGACCACCAACGAGGGACTAGTATATCGATCGCATTAGGTATCTTGCTGCCAAACATGGATCTGAGGACCTCCATGGCTTCTTCCTTTGTCTCTGCATCTGATTGTTGCTCGATTCTTCGTGACTCCTCCTCTGTGACTGTAACTAGTAGCACATTGGCTCCTGGGTATTGCTTTTCGAAGTGCTATACGGTATAGAAATGAGTAAGCGAGTAAGAAAATTGATTTGTCTATGTTAAGACAGACATAATTAATTTGTTTAGATTCCGTATGCATTCTTGCAGTATTTTGAAAAATCATTTACTTTGTACACCGACGAGTTTGTTCTGGATGCAAACTATTACAAATTCAAATCATGTCACACCTATGTATGACTTCTCCTATGGTAAGTAATGAGGGATTAATAGACAATCTTTTCTTTTGCATACTATATATCAAGTATCAATATGGAAGACACATTGGGGATGTAAAATTAAGAAATCTTTCCTTTACGACATTGTATCTTTTGTCATAGGAAAGCATTCTTCGTTCGGTTAAATAGAACTTGAGTCGCTCCATATAAATTTACAAGTTTTTTGCTTCTTTTTGTTTTTGTTAATTAATTTTGCAGTTCAACATATTTCACTGTACTAAATTAAGGTGGCAAAAGAAATAGGCCTTATTTGTAGATATAATTATCAAGATTTTCCATATATGCTTTTGTACTTAATTAAATTTGGAAAATTGACAAGTTGCAGAAGAACTACTATTTTGTACATTTTTTAATAATAGCAGGGGTCCTATTAGAACACCCCATAGAAAGAAGTGATTATACAATTCACGAGTGGTTAAAGAATTAGTTTGGGAACTATAACTATTCAATAAATTAATGGTGTAATTCACTTCATTCCTATAGAGGTGGTTCTTATAGAATCCATACTGTTTAAGTAAAACTAATCTCTTAGCATGAGATATAATAATAATAATAATAATACCTGCCAAATTGGATAATATCCTCTCCTTTCACTTGCATAAAGAAAAAACTCAGTTCCATTTCCTCCAGGCCAAAATCTGTAAGGGAACTTGAGGAATATCTTGGTGTACACTGCCATATCAAATTGATATACTGCCAATATCTTCCATTGCTATTTACAATAAGGAAAAAATTAATACAATGTTAGTAAAATTAACCATAAAAAAATTTATGATATTTGTAAAATCTGCGAAAGAATTACTGGTAAGTCGGGCTGAAAATCAATGAGCTTGGTTTGAAGGACACCCAGGCTCACAGAGACCATCACATAATCTGCTTCATAAACTGAACCATCCTCTGTGGTTACAGTTGCACCACTTTTAGAATGACTGATCTTTCTCACCACCTATTTCAGTTTAGAAAGCAATTAGTTATTGTTGTCAATTAGAAACTTAGATGATATTTTCAATATTAAGGGTTAATTGCAGATAGACCCTATGAAGTATTGTTGTTCTAAACTTACTACCTCTCTGGTTTTTTTAGCTGGAAATACCCAACCTGCTGACAAATAGACCTTTGAAGATAAAATAAACATCCAGTACGCACTAACTGTAGTACACCAAAAGATACCAATTGTTGAATTAGAAACTTAGATGATATTTTCAATAGATGTAATGATAAGTGTACTACAACTTTGATACTACCTACTTTGACAGTATCACAAACAGAAGTGTAGGGTCATGATAAGTCACCATTTTTTTTACAATTTTTAAGAAAGAGCCCCACTTTTTTGTTCGTGGTAGTGCCAAACTAGTTGAAAAGTTGCAGCACAATTATCATTTTTCTTTTCGGTATTTAGGGTTAGATGCAGATAGATCCTATGAAGTATTGCTGCTCTGAATTTAATATTTCTCTAGTTTTTTAGCTGCAAACCTACTGACAAATAGACCCTTGAAAGTAAAATAAACATCCAGTACACATTAATTGCACACCAAAAGATACCAATTGTTGAATTAGTAGATTTAGGATGTGTGCATTGATCTTGCATTGATATCACTCTGGTGTACTATTAATGCAATAGATATATAAAAAACCACATGTATATAACTTTCTCATTAATTAAGAAATCTTCCTAATTAAGTATGATCCTTCAATAGCTCCTTCAACAAAAGGCTGTAGAATTTGATTTACCTTGTTCAACTTTAGCCGAGGATCGACAATGTCGCCCTTCTTGTTGGTCTTAAGGAATTGGCGGGCTACATAATACTTGTCGATCTTGGTGGTTCAGCAAATTCATAATCATAGGCATAGTAGTCTATGGCCATGTCCAATGGTGTTGAGGGAACACTGCATCATTAAAGAAAAACAATTTGTTGAATCAAATGTAGAATATTGATGAGATTTATTTTAATGCATTTTTGCTAGCTATTGTTTTTCGGCTTCTACTTTTTTGCTAAATTCAAATTTTCGTTGTTGTATTTGCTGGAATAGATCAAGTAATAGGTTATGAAAAACTTTCAAATCCACAACTCCATTTATCATAATATTTTAATAATTATCTGACAATTTATAATACAACTCTAATGAAAGTCGAAAAATAACAACAGATAAATTATAATATTATAACATTATGAGTGCAAGAATATTAAACTATTTTAATAACTTGATAACAAAGTTATTAGCTATTACTCACAATTACAACCATTGAAACTTGATACTCCCATAAATACCAAAGGATCTTATCCCCTTGAACTTTTAATAAAATAGTCAAAATCATGCTGCAAGAACAGTAAGCAAGATCTCGCATATACATTTCTTTTTTAAATTGCATATATGGAATAATATTATTGCATCTTGTAATTAATTTAAACGAAAGGGAATATTGAAGATAATCACAGCCATTAATTATCTAGTCAGTAGTTGTGGTTTTTTCTTTAAATGTTAATTAGGAATGAGTGCAATACAGGGGGGTATGTTGAGTGTTAAATTTAGATTGTATTATAACCGCCTACTAAATACTTAACAGTTGAAATTAAAAATAACGGTACTTTTTTGTAGTGGAGAGGATCCAAATTCAAAAAGCTGAAACGTATGACTTCCCTAAAAATATTAAAAATTCATGTAATAAAATTCTTAAAAACCCATTTTACTACACCATATATAATTCCTCTTTTAAATAACATTAAAAGTGATATCTCAATCTGAATTAGTTTGGTACCATCTTAAAATCTATTTCACTGCATCATAAATTAAAAAATCTTGATAAAAAAGCGTTTGACGGACTATATATAACTTGTTGAAATTGCGTCTTGTATAATTTCATGAGAATTAGATAGGGTTAGAGATCTATCATGATTAGGAGACTGGGTCTCATCATGATTAGGAGTTTGAATCATATTCGAATTAGAAAGTTAATTAGGCTAGAGATATGGTTTTGATTTCCCTATATATATTCTTCTATTATTGGAGGAAAAACCAAGCAGATGAGAGAGAACCAATATTCTTTTAATTTAGGGTTAGTAGAGGGCGTATCCTAATTTAAAAATATTGTGCGAGAGGCGAGAGTTTTGTAGTCTTTATCCATGCAAAAGATTACATCATTGGGAGAGGGTTTCACAGTCTTTATCCGTTCAAAAGATTATAAGGAGAGGGCTTTGGAGATAATATGAGAGATGATTATGTATGTGAGGTTGAGAGATTGAGAAAAGAGAGTTGAGTGGTTCCTATTGTAGTTCTCTCTAATACATAGTGGATTTCTCGTATTGTTGCCCGTGGACGTAGGTCGAAGTTGGTCGACTGAACCACGTAAATCTCGGTATTCTTTCTTCTTGATTGTGGTTGTTTTATATCTTGTCAATTGTTTAAGTTGCGCATATCGAAGAAGGTGGAGAGACTAAAATTTATTCACAATTGGTATTAGAGCGACAATGATGGATTCGGGAGCGTGTTCGCAAGATAGATGTTGTACAAAAGTGAAGATCAGCGGCGTTATAAGAATCAAGATGAAGAAAAAGAAAAAAAAAGAAGGTACTGTAGTGGCGGGAACACTGTAGCAAGTGAACAGTGTTTGGGTGAGGGTTTGGTTAAAAAATTATTAAATTAAATCCGACGGTGTAGATTAATTTATCTTCTGATCGAGGGTTTGGAGGAGGATTTCAACAATCCGGGAATTGATTCCTAGGTTCTAGAGTGCTCTGAATGCGATGGGATGGTCTAGATTTTTTAGATTATGCTCACATTAATTAGTCAAAAAGTATAGAAAAGTTCTAATGGTGTTAACGAGACAGATTTGATGGCAGATAAGGCATATGAGTATGCGACGGATGAGATTGGTGCAGAGAATCAGACATGATTTTTGTAGTAGAGTTGTCAGCATTTAATTATTCAGAGTCATCGCAGGAGCAATAGTTGGTTGGTGTGTAGACTTGAGGATGACAATGCTAGATTAGGTGGAGCTTGCAAGCGGGCACAACTGAGTAACACACAGAGAGATGAAAATTGTGGAATTAGATTTGAAGACGATGAGCGCTTATATTCGGTCCAAGCCAAGTGATGGAGGAGATGGAGGCATCTGGCTCGTAGTGTGGAGTAGGAGAGGTGCACCGATGTGATTTGAGATGAGCGATGCATGTAGAGTACGAGGACAAAGTTGGGGAAGGCTACTATCAAGTTTAGTTTGGAAGGAGAAGCATGCTTGATTTGCTTCTAATGTTAGAGGTGGCAAAGATCTCTTAGTGCGCACAAGAGAGGTGGAGGCGCCACAACGAGGCAGATGTAAGTGGGGATCGATCATAGGGCATCCAATTGGACTTTGATTTGAAGTGCGGAAAGAAATAGAAGACTTTAGCGAGAGAGGCAAAGTTTAAAGACAATGAAATATCTTCAAGGGAATTTGAGAATTAAATTCAAGGTGGAGATTGTTGAGATTGTGTCTTTGATTCTTTGTATAACTTCATGAGAATTAGATAGGGTTAGAGATCTATCATGATTAGGAGACTAGGTCTCATCATGACTTGGAATTTGAATCCTATTCTAATTAGAAAATTAGGCTAGAGATAGAGTTTTGGTTTTCCTATATATATTCTTCTATTGTTGGAGGAAAAACCAAGCAGAGGAGAGAAAACCAATATTCTTGTAATTTATGGTTAACAGAGGGCGTAGCCTAATTCAAGAATATTGTGCGAGAAACGAGGGTTTCGTAGTCTTTGTCCATGCAAAAGATTACATCATTGAGAGAGGGTTTCGTAGTCTTTGTCCATTCAAAAGATTGTAAGGAGAGGGCTTTGGAGATAATATGAGAGTTTATTATGTATGTGAGGTTGAGAGATTGAGAAAAGAGAGTTGAGTGATTCTTCTTGTTGTTCTTCCTGATACATAGTGAATTTCTAGTATTGTTGCCTGTGGACGTAGGTCGAAGTTGGTCGACTGAACCACGTAAATCTCAGTGTTCTTTTTCTTGATTGTGGTTGTTACATGTTTTGTTCATTGTGGGTTGGCTTTCAAGTTGCGCATATCGTAGAAGATGGGGAGACTAAAATCCCTAACATAACTTTTAACAATATTGAAAATATTTACTGTGATTCTCCCAAAACGGATTTGGATCCTCTCCACTACCATAAAAGAAGTTGAGGGACTATATAATCACAATCACTAATGTTTGGGTTTGAGCTATAATTTCTCATTACATTTAATGAAAATAAAATTATTGATTGACTAGAAAGAGAAACGCGAAAAACTCTAATAAGAAAAACAAACCTATAAAAGAAAAGAGGAAAACTCTAATAAGAAAGAGAAACGCGAAAAACTCTAATAAGAAAAACAAACCTATAAAAGAAAAGAGGAAAACTCTAATAAGAAAAAAAAACTTATGAAACAAATAACAATCCTAAACAAGAAGATAATATCTTCTTTAAGGATCTACTATGTTATGAGAATTAATTATATGTTCAATGAACTTACTGATTTTGTAGGCGTTGGTACGTAAGAATTGAGATATCTTGGCGGCCGGACGCCGGCAAAGCATTAGAGAACTTCTCCCCCTTTTCATTCGTAAGAATTGAGATATCTTGGCGGCCGGACGCCGGCAAAGCATTAGAGAACTTCTCCCCCTTTTCATTCACATCCTCTGATAGTTTCATCGACTCATCAGCTGTTGACCTCTCGTAGAGTCCACCACTGTAAAACAAATAATTAGTGATTAATTATCAACAAGTTAACAACAATGAGTACCCTACTTTAAGTTAGAAGTGATTTCACAAAACTATCATGAATTATTAGGCTTCGTTTGGATACCATGGTGTTTTCTTTGTTGTGTTTTTGTAAAAGAAAAAATCATGGTGTTGTGTTTTCTCCCTAAAGTATTTTCTAAACACCATGTTGAGTGTCTTTAGTTAATACTAATTTGACCCGTTATAACATTAGTATTAAACATATTATTAATATATTATATATTAATTATAATAAATATTTTAAAAATAAAATATTATAATATTTATTATACATTTATTATAATATATTTAATATTAAATATAATATAATATAATATATTATTGTAATTTAATAAATTATATTATAATATACTTATTAAATTATTTTTAAATAATAATATATTTAATTATTTTGGTATATCAATTTTTTATTGTTATATATTATAAAATATTGTTAAAATAATATTATTTTATTCTTAATATAATATTATACTATTATTAATATGATATAATATTATTAATAATGTTAATATTATGTTATTACTACTATATTATTAATAAATTCATATATTACAAATATTTTAATATTATATAATATATTATAGTTTCTAATATGTTAGAGTTTATTAATAATACTTTAACATGGTATAATAAATATCAGTATATTATGAATGTATTAATATTAATTAACATTTATTAGCGATAAATAATTTTAGTATTAATAATTATTTCTTTATAACATATTATATTATTTATTAAATAATGTATTAATATTTTATATATTATATTACATTTACTATATAATATACTATTATATTATTATTATTTTATTTTTTATTATTAAATATATTGATATTATATAACATTTTATAATTATTAATTTATTATATATTATTTATTAAAAATAATAATATTATAGTGTTTATAATATTGTATGGTATATTATTATATCATTATTAATGACTTTTATTAATTTTTTATTAATTTACTTATATTTTATTATTATATTATGTTAACTATATTAATACATAATACATTATCAGCATATCAAATATTAGTATTTAATATATTATTATATTATTAATATATTATTATATTATTATGTAAGATATTTTACTTAATAATATATTTTATATTATTTAGTAAATATTGCAATTATATTAGATTGACTATAAGATAGTATAGTATAACATAATAAACGTGTCGATAATAACTATGTATTAATTATATTTAATATATTATGTTATTATATTAACATTTTCTTAAACTCAAAACTAAAGCGCCAAAAAACACCTAAAATGTGTTTTGAAATAAGTATTGTGTTTTTGGTTTAAGGATGATTTAGCTCAAAAAACATCATGCTTTCCAAACGTAATTTGTTTTATTTTTGCCAAAAACACCATTGAAACAATGAAAATACAATAGTATCCAAACGAAACCTAGGTCTTTTACATAAAATGCCCTAAACTTTCAAATCTGCAAATAAGTTACCTCATTCTATCAAAAAACTGTCCATCAATAGACGACATGAACTGTATGTTACTTCCCTTTTTTTTCTTTTTTCTTCTTCTGTGTGTGTGTGTGTTTTCAATGAACAATGCTTTTTTCCCCATAACTGTATGTTACTTTCAGATAACTATCATGAACTTTCAGATACTATTAAGAATAACTATCATATAATTTTTCTATTAGTACATAAATATGAGTTATTGTAATTACTAGAGATAAAACTCCACTTCGTCTTGTGAATGCGGCCGCCGATGCGGTCCGTGGCCTCAAGTATCAGTATGTCCTTTATACCCGCATCCGATAACGTCTTAGCTGCACTTATCCCTGCAAATTAATCAATCAAAGTGAAGATCAAGACCTAAGTCAAGCTTAGTTCACGCAAGCAAGTTTTTGTCAGATTATTCCACTTGAGAACACGATAGAAATACAATTTAGAGATTCATACAACTCTTCTTATGTATACAAAATGTTCTGATAAGCTTTGTATTAATTATGGAAATTTGATGGATACGTACTGACCGGAAAAACCTGCGCCAACGATGATGACCTTGGGAGATCTGGCGGCCGTAGCGGCTAGTAGCTGTGCCGTGATTAGGAGACCTATAATTACGCTAATGCCCCCCATCTCCTTCTCTCTAGCTCTAACGTCTCTCTATCTCTAAAATCACGCAATTAGTACTGTATTTATATTGCGGGGTGGTATAGTTCTTGAGCGGAGTGAGAGTGGGTTCAGCACGTGCTGGCTGGGTTATGTTGGATAAATTAGTTTATAAACAAAAGTCCAAAAAGAGTAGCCAATTTTGAAAAATTGTGACAAAAGTCCAAAAGAAAATATTGACAGCCAAAACTTTAGACAACATAATTAGCAAATGTGATTAAAGGTGTATAGTAATTTTTAAAACGTGAAAACGTGGGCGGCTGAACATTGAAAAATTAGGACGTGGTCCTACATGCATAGTAAAATAATAATATTTTATTAGTGCATAGTATTTTTCAAAACGCTATAAATAGACCCCAAATCCTTAAGGAAAATTCATTCCAAAAACAACAATCAATATATACAGATATAGATTGTAAAATCGCTGGCGCTTATAGGAATTTTGCCTGATAGATCGAGGAGATCTTTTACCTGATAGATCGATGAGATCTTTTGCCTGATAGATTGAGAAGATCTTTTGCCTGATAAATCGAGGAGATCTTGACAGTACTGGATCGGTGCACACCAGAGTACTGGACTGTTGTTCCTGAAAGCAATTTGGCCTTGGGATCCTTGCACCGGAGTAGGACAAACGATGCTTTAAGCATAGCGTTTTACAAACGCACAGCTGAGTTGAAAATTTTAAATTACTGCACTTCAGTTTTTTGTTCAGTTTTTTGCTGTTATATATCTATATTATTCTAGTTTTAACCACTGGCGCCAACAGGTTTCACGTGCATGCATGGCTCCAGGAGCATGGAGACTTGTTTAAGGTGATTTCTATGGAGTCTCACCGTTATGATCATATTGTTCTCAAATTAATTATGAACTGTTGAATGTTGATTTGCTGTGAAATTTCTTCTCCCAAGTTTGAGAACTACTTCACCTAAGGTTGAACACTTTTTTCATGGACTCGGGTGGGAATGACAATTTTCTTTTAAATATAACAATAGATAATAATGAATTCATGATATGTACGAATTAAAGCTTGGTTGTTCTGATACATACCATGTTAAACTGTTAAACGTCATTCAACAACATCAAGGCTCTGAAGTTGCATTGCGTATTGAGGGTTATAATTTTATATTTTAACACTATAAACATAAAGGATAAATTTCACATATATAATAGTTTTTTATTAGAGAAAAAGATAATTAACTTATCCCCAAATTTGTCATTGCGTACAGATGTTAGTGTAACTTTGGCATATGACTAGCTACTGTAGAGTTGGCAAAATTCGAAGAAGAGAATCTGGGAAGGCTTCTGGAGATTTGGCGGTCGACCGCACATGGTGCTGCGGTCAACCGCACCAGAGCCCAGGACAATGTGCGGCTCTGGACTTTTGGCGGTCGACCGCAGCACAATGTGCGGTCAACCGCGATCGAGCCCAGGACTTTCCCAGGTCTCTGGACAATTTGCGGTCGACCGGCATTGTCACAGCGATCGACCGCCTATCGGGTTTTGGGTCTGGGTCAGTTTCCAGACCCGGTTTTCTTGTGAGTTGTATATAAACCCCAAACTCGATTTTAGGGTTATGCAAGGGCGATTTTGAACTGCTAAGAGGGGTTTTCTAGGGCTTCTTTTGTTGGAGTCTATTGGAGAGATCAAGTGGTCTTGTTATAGGGTTTTGGGTAAGATTTGTAACCCTAATTTGTATTCCCCTTGATTTCTATTAGTGAAACTCCCCCCTCCTTGCCCCGTGGACGTAGGCATATTGCCGAACCATGTTTATCTTGTGTTCTTGCTGTGATTGAGTTGCTTGTGTTGCATTGTGGTCTACTATTGTTCTTGTGTGTGCTATTGTATTGTCTATTCGGGCTTCCGCGGCGCACAACAAGTGGTATCAGAGCTCCGGGTTGGATTTGGGAGTTTTGTTCGAAGGATTCACTGTTGGATTGAAGAGTAAATCTACAATATGGTTGAAACAAGCAAGGCTAGTTCAAGTGCTACTAGTACATTGGGGTCGACTTTGACAAAGGCGATCCAAAATTTGAGCATCAACAACACTAAAATTGATGTTCCAAAGTTCGACGGCAAGATTAACTTTGGTTTATGAAGGTGTCAAGTAATGGACGTCTTAGATGCACAAAATTTGGAGGAGACTCTTGAGTTTCAAGAGAAACCTGAGGAGATTGATGATAGGGTTTGGAAGAAAATGCCTAGTAGGGCTTGTGGGGTTATTCGGTCATGCCTAACGCCGGATCTCATTTATGATGCGATGAACGAGACGTCGGCAAAGAGATTGTGGGAAACGCTCAATGAAAAATATTTGACGAAGAGCATTAAGAATCGGCTTCACTTGAAGAAAAGGTTCTACCAATTCAAGATGAAGAGGGGAGTTTCCATTCGGGAGCATGTTAACAACTTCACAAAGCTAATTTCGGATATGGCTAATGTAGATATCATGGTGGAGGATGAAGACAAGGCGATGTTATTATTGTGTTCGTTGTCGGATGATGAGTTTAGTACTTTTGTTCTCACTATGATATAAATAGGCGAACTACAGTTAGCTACAAGGAGGTGACCTCAACATTGGTAAATTATGAGCTGAGGAAGAGTGATAGTGAGCCATTCGAGAAGGCATCGGGTGATGCACTTGCAGTTCTTGGCCGTAGTCCAAACCGTCAAAGGTTCAACCGCTCAAAATCAAAGAATAGGGGTGGCCATAAAAGTGTTGGTAGAAATCAATGTGCCTTTTGCAAAGAAGAGGGACATTGGAAGAATGAGTGCCCAAAGTTGAAGGATAGAGCCAGAAAGTAAAGGGGGAAAGCTGTACAAGCATCAGAGGTGAATGTTGCTAAATTTGTTGGCGACACTTCAGATTCGGATTCTTCTGGTTATTCTTGTCCCGCACTACCGTCAATTTGTTATACCGACTCTACGGAGTGGATGCTTGATTCGGGAGCTACATTTTACATTTGCCCTAAGAGAGATTGATTTACCAACTTTGAGGAGTTGGAGAGAGGAGATGTGGTGCTCATGGGGAACGATCATGTTTGTCCTATTAGTGGGATTAGCTCAGTCAGAATCAGAATGCATGACAGGGTGACTAGGGAGTTGAAAGAAGTGAGGTTCGTACCGTAGTTGACGAAGAACATCATTTCCCTTGGGACTTTGGAGGTAGCTGGTTATAGAGTGATCTTAGAGGATGCTACTTTGAAGGTCATGAAGGGGTCCATGGTGGTGATGCGAGGTGTCAGGAAAAATAACCTATACTACTTGAAGGGCAAGACAGTTACAGGGGGTATGACTGCTTCTATCACCACAGAGGAGGACACTACCACACTATGGCATATGAGGCTTGGACACACAGGTGATAAGTCCCTACAGTCATTGGCAAAACAGGAACTATTGAAAGGTGTAAAGACCTGCAAGATGGAGCTGTGTGAGCATTGCATTCTTAGGAAGAAGACTAAAGTAAAGTTTGGCACCGCAATTCACAACACCCAACGTATATTAAACTACATTCACACAGATGTTTGGGGCCCTTCTAAGCACACATCGCTTGGTGGGGCAAATTATTTTGTCACTTTCATTGATGATTATTCCAGGAGGAATTGGGTATATACCATGAAGCATAAACATGAGGTCCTGGAGATATTTGTGGAGTGGAAGAAGAAAGTGGAGCTGCAGACAGGTAGAAAGGTGAAGACTCTTCGTTCAGACAATGGTGGAGAGTATAAAATTGATCCATTTCTGCAGTTTTGCCGGGATCACGGCATTAGAAGACACTTCACAGTTAGAGAGACACCGCAACAGAATGGGATGGCAGAGAGGCTGAACCGTACCTTGCTGGAGGAGGTGCGATGTATGATGATGCAGAGTGGATTGGCTAGATCCTTTTGGGCTGAGGCGTTAGTTTATGCGAGCCATCTCGTTAACAGGTTGTCGTGGACTATGATAGAGGGGAAGACTCCTATGGAGCGTTGGTCTGGTTCTGTGGCTAGTGATTATGAGACTCTTCGGATATTTGGGTGTCCAGCTTATTTCCATGTTAGTGATGGGAAGTTGAATTCGAGAGCGAGAAAGGTTATCTTTGTGGGATTTAGAGAAGGTGTCAAAGGCTTCAAATTATGGGATCCACAAGACAAGAAGATGGTCATTAGCAGAGATATCACATTTGATGAGGCGTACATGATGAAGCCTCGAGTTCCTCAGCAGGTGGAGGAAGATCAGACAAGAGGGATATCATAGCAGGTGGAGGATGATGTGACTCTACCCACTCCAGTCAGCACTGTGTCCATTGAGACTCCTACAGAGGTGGCACTGGAAGGAGATGAGATGACAGTCAGGCATTTGGAGGATACAGTTGATGGTGAGGCTCAGGAGCAGGGTCATGCTCAGGGGTCCATTGCAGCAGATAGACCGAGAAGAGAGATTCGTCGGCCAGCTAGATACGATGATGTCATGGTGGCATATGCTTTATCTGTGGAGGTCGTTGATGATTTTATTCCTGTCACATTCAGGGAGGCAGAGTCAAGCTCTGATTCCATTAGGTGGAGGAATGCTATGGAGGAGGAGATGCAATCTCTTCATAAGAACGACACTTGGGAACTTGCACAGCTAGCTAAGGGTAAGAAAGCTATTGGTTGCAAGTGGGTGTATGCTAAGAAGGAGGAATCTTCTATTAGGGACATTCGGTTCAAGGCCAGATTAGTTGCCAAGGGATATGCACAGCTTGAGGGCGTTGATTATAACGAGGTGTTTTCACCCGTTGTGAAGCATTCGTCGATTCGGATGCTATTAGCATTGGTGGCACAACTGGACTTAGATTTGGTCCAAATGGACGTGAAGACGGCCTTTTACATGGAGACTTAGACGAGGTGATCTACATGATACAACCTATAGGGTTTAAAGCTGCAGGAAGGCAAAATTTGGTGTGCAAATTAAAGAAATCTCTTTATGGACTGAAGCAATCACCGCGACAGTGGTACAAGAGATTTGATGGTTTTATGATTGGCCGAGGGTACACG